TCATGTGTGTTAAAGACTACTAACTTATTGTTATAATATTGCTGGATCTCATGATGCAGTTACAGGTTTTGTTTTTTGATAATAATTTGTCAAAATAATTATTAAATTCAAATACCACAGTGAATCAGTCTTTTTCATGATGATTACAAAACCATCACCAGGTAACCTTCATCACCTGATCCCGTTCAATTTTGTTACTGTAAATGTGTTTGACAAACACACTGTCACAGCAGTCAAAAGAGATCAAATATCTAATATGAGTAAAGAGCCTGGCTAATGGAAACACTAATCACTGTTATGGTGACTTCAAATGAAACTGAGTTAAACCTCTGTTTATTCTCAATAAAAACTTCTGTAGAAGTCTGACAGAAATAAACTCAGTCTGGTTAGTAATAAGTGAAGCTGGTAATGCTGTTTGTGGAGTTGTTTAATCCTCCTCTGCTGAGATCTTCAGATTTAATGTCTTCTCTTCAGTTGATTTCATCTAAGACTGTGTTGTCTCTTTTTCTGTTCTCTTCAGAGGAGTAAAGTCCAGGTTCAGAAAGTAAAAGTCCGCCTCAGTATTTTGTTCCAATCACCTGGATTTGCTTATTAGCAGTTTTTCAGTCAGGAGACAGAAATCAACTGAAATCAACTGTCAATCAGTTCATGGCTGGAAGTAAGACATGGCAGAATTTCTACTTTCTACTTCTACTTTATACAACTCTGCTCTGAATCAGAGTTAAAGTTAATGAGATACTTAAGTGATTAATTAAGTGATGATTTGGCATTAATGATGAACACCTGCTGTCAACAAGCAGAATCACTGAAGGAAAGAGAAACAACAAGAACAGAAAAAAAGATAAACACAAGAACTACAACTGACTTCTAGCCACAGCCTTAGATGAAATCCAATGTAGACAAAAGACATTAAATCTCTCTAGTTCTCAGCAGAGGAGGATTAAACAACTCCACAAACAGCATTACCAGCTTCACTTATTACTAACCAGACTGACTTTATTTCTGTTAAGTCTACAGAAAGTCTTATTGAGAATTAACAGAAGTTTAGATGTTGATGATTTATTGAAAATGTTTGATCACCATTATGGCGATGAGTGTTTCCTTTAGTTGGTCAGATTTGACTCTTGGCTTTTATTTTGAGTTTGTGGTTTTTGTAACAGATTTTACCAAAACATGTAGTTTGTTACAAAGAAAGCCAAAAACAATGACGATCAGGTGATATAGTTTTCAACAACAAAAAATAGAAAAATGCACTCATCACTGTCCAAAAGTGGTTATATGATGTTAATACATTATATTCACTAACAATACTCTCTTGCCACAGATTGGACATTCTGATTTTTGACTTTTAAAATACATCATGGGGATTTTTTTTTTCCAAGACACAGACATCAAGAATCAGCATATGAATCTCAACAATGGTAACACGCTTCATGCCGCAATGCATGCTGGGAGCCATACGTTTTATATTATTGTGGCTCCCAGCATGCATTGCAGCATGAAGCATGTTACCATTGTTGAGATTCATATGCTGATTCTTGATGTCTGTGTCTTGAAAAAAAAAATCCCCAATATGTATTTTAAAAGTCAAAAATCAGAATGTCCGATCTGTGGCAAGAGAGTATTGTTAGTGAATATAATGTACATCATATAACCACTTTTGGACAGTGGTGAGATAAGTGCATTATTCTATTTTTTGTTGTTGAAAACTATTTCACCTGATCATCATTGTTTTTGGCTTTCTTTGTAACAAACTACATGTTTTGGTAAAATCTGTTACAAAAACCACAAACTCAGAACAAAAGCCATAATGGTGATCAAACATTTTCAATAAATCATCAACATCTAAACTTCTGTTAATTCTCAATAAGACCTTCTGTAGACTTAACAGAAATAAAGTCAGTCTGGTTAGTAATAAGTGAAGCTGGTAATGCTGTTTGTGGAGTTGTTTAATCCTCCTCTTCTGAGAGCTAGAGAGATTTAATGTCTTTTGTCTACATTTGATTTCATCTAAGGCTGTGGCTAGAAGTCAGTTGTAGTTCTTGTTTGTTTGTTTTTTTCTGTTCTTGTTGTTTCTCTTTCCTTCAGTGATTCTGCTTGTTGACAGCAGGTGTTCATCATTAATGCCCAATCATCACTTAATTAATCACTTAAGTATCTCATTAACTTTAACTCTGAATCAGAGTTATTTTAACTCTCTGTAGAGAGGGACCAAATGTTCTCTGAGCAGAGTTAATTTAACTCTGGGGATTTTGCTGTGTAGCAATAGCACACATGTATGCATCACTGAGCCATTGACCAACTGAAACCTGGTCTGAAGTCAATGGTGCAGTATTATTATTTTTTTATTTAACCTGTTAAGCTGCAAGCCCCACTTTTGAAAATTCCCCAGAAATGGCATACCCAAACTAAAACACATACAGTTCATGAACCCTTTGTACTAAAAGCACAAGTATGATTTCATTTGAAGGCTGACACCTGGCAGTTTATTGTAAATGTAGAATTAATTACATTAAAGTGATGAAATCAACTGAAGATTAAAGAAGACATTCAATCTCTCAAGATCTCAGCAGAGAAGGTTTAAATTTTAAAGCATTACCAGCTTCATTTATTACTTACCAGATTTACTTTATTTCTTTCATTCGGCTATAGATTTTCTTCTTGAGAATTAACAGAGGTTTAGATGTTGATGTTTTATTGAATATTTTGTTCATTAAGCATTTCCTTTAGTCGGTCAGTTTGACTCTTTTTATATGAGTTTGTGGTCTTTATAGCAGTGTTTACCAAAACACATAATTTGTTGCAAAGAAAGCCAGAAACAAATATGATCAGGTGATACATTTTCCTGCATCATCAGATAGAATCATTTACTAATATTTTTCATAAAATTGGAATATATATATATATATTTTTGTCATTAATATAATTTATTCACCAACATAATTTTCTTGCAACAGATCAGACATTCTGAATTAAGATTTTTTAAAACATTAAATAGCAACAAATCTTCTGACACACACAGACATCAAGAATTACCTTATGAATCTCAACAATGGTGACATGCTTCATGCCGCAATGCATGCTTGGAGTCACCATAGTATAAAACTTATAGCTCCCAGCATGCATTGCAGCATGAAGCATGTCATCATTGTTGAGATTCATATGCTGATTCTTTATTGCCTGTGGGTATCGAAAGAAACTTCTATAAAGTATTTAAAAATGTAATTCCTGAATGTCTGATCTGTGGCAAGAATGTAGTGATTTTGAATATAATGTATTAATATCAAATAACTGCTTTTTGTTAAGGGATTTTGTGACTAATTCTACTTTAAGATGCTTAAAACAATATCACCTGATCATCTTTGTTTCTGGCTCTGACCACAAACTCACATCAAAAGCCAAGAGTCAAACTGACCAACTAAAGCAAACACTACCCAGCCAGCACAGCCATGTGGGGCCCACATGGGTTTGACCTGGGCTATCTAACTGGGACCCAGACAGTTTTGCTCCCGGTTTCCATGTAGGCCCCACATGGGTTTGCCCAGATAAAATGAACACTGCTCAGTGTGCACACTACAGGCTGTTAAATGTAACACTGATCAGTGTTGGAGTTAATGAGATAATTAAGTGATTGAATATGATTGAGCATTATTGAACACACCTAAAGCAGAATCACTGAAGGAGAAAATTGTAAGCCACCGTTATGGCGATCATTGTTTGCTTTAGTTGGGCTCTTGACCCTTATATTATTAACTTTAGATTTTGTTTGGCTGTTGTTTCTGACTTATAACTGCCAGATGAACAAAAAAAAAGTGATGTAATGGTGTTGGTTATATTATGACAGTCATGGTTTGAACATATTCATGCTGTGATCTGAAAAATGAAACTTATTGAGATTATCTGGTTTAACTTGTTAGCAACAGCTTTGTGATTCTACAGCAAATGATTATCAGTATTTTTTTCATACCGCAATGCATGATGGGAGCCATTATGAGCCCAACCAAAGCAAACAATGATTGCCATAACGGTGGCTTACAATTTTCTCCTTCAGTGATTCTGCTTTAGGTGTGTTCAATAATGCTCAATCATATTCAATCACTTAATTATCTCATTAACTCCAACACTGATCAGTGTTACATTTAACAGCCTGTAGTGTGCACACTGAGCAGTGTTCATTTCATCTGGGCAAACCCATGTGGGGCCTACATGGAAACCGGGAGCAAAACTGTCTGGGTCCCAGTTAGATAGCCCACGTCAAACCCATGTGGGCCCCACATGGCTGTGCTGGCTGGGTAATCACCATAATGTTGACCAAATATTTTCAATAAAAGATCAACACCTAAACCTTTGTTAATACTCAATAAGAACTTCTATAGCCGTATGACCGAAATAAAGTAAATCTGGTTAGTAATAAGTAAAGCTGGTAATGCTGTTTGTGGAGTTGTTTAATCCTCCTCTGCTGAGATCTTCACAGATTTAATGTCTTCTTTTATCTTCAGTTGATTTAATCTCAGGCTGTGGTTGCAAAGTCAGTTGTAGTTCTTGTGTTTCTCTTTCCTTCAGTGATTTTGCTTGTTAACAGCAGGTGTTCATCACTAATGCTCAATCATCACTTAATTAATCACTTAAGTATCTCATTAACTTTAACACGGATTCAGAGTTACTTTAACACTGTAGAGTGGGACCAAATGTTCTCTGAGCAGAGTTAATTTAACACTGGGGATTTTGCTGTGTAGGTGTTCTTTGGTTTTTGTTTTTATAATTTTATTTAAATATTTTATATTGGCTTGCACTTCATACCCTGTGCTCTGTACCTGAAATATCAGCTGATCGAATCCAATCACCCTAAAGAGTGTAGCTTTAGAGTAATTTAAACTGAGGAGCTCCCACTCTCCCTGGGCCTGAAAGAGCTGCTGTGAGAAATGGATGATGTTCTTTTGATCAGACATTGGACGAATTGTAATCTCCCGGGCTGTGGAAACAGAAATTAAAATTGTATTTCATATTAAAGTCAAATAGTTTAGAAGAATAAACCATGTTATCTTGTGTTTGTTTGTCAAAACTGATTTTTGTGTTTCAGATGTACCTGAATATACTGTAGACTGAAATGTTATATAGCAGCTTTGGGCATCGAAGGGAAACCTGTAGAGATCCATCTTACAGGCCGTGGTCAGGGATAAAAAGTCAGCTGAGACTATAGCGCCGTAATTGAACAACAGCAAATTTGGAGACTCCTTTGTTCCAAACTCTGTCCTGATGCTAAATGGATAAAATATAAATTAACACTGATTAATAAAGATATGATGATTGTAGATCAAAAAGGAGATCAAGCAGTTTTAAGGGGTATTTTCCAAGCCACTTAAAGGTGCTCTATGGATTTTCTTCTAAAATGAATCCTTTTTTAATTGCCTGTGTGTGAAGGGTGTAAGGATTCAGGGGCGGATCTAATCCGTGGGGAATTTGCATATCATAATTAATAATTAGTAATTAATAATTATTCATGCATGTTTGGATTAGATCAGTCTTACATGTTAATAAATCTCCCGATAAGGGAGGATCTGTCATTTTACCTGCATGCATGCATGTGACTCCCTGAAATTAACCACAAGTTGATTGCAATTAATTACACGGACCACGTTTCACAAACAGGTAAAATGAATTAGCTCAATTGTCAGGATAATATTTGTGGGATCCACAATATCATCTTACTTTATAGGATTTCAGGAAACGCAATTCTCTGGCCAGAAGAATTGGTTTTCCCGCCCTATAAACACATACTTTTAAGGTATATTTAATTTTAGTAAGCTTGTAGCATAAGATCTTTGGCACTTAAGGGAATTGAAACTGAGCAAAGAGACAGTACATCAATCAAATGAATATATAATTAATTTAATAGAGGCATGACTACTTATGTATTTACTACGGTTACACGGATATATATATGTATTTACAAACACATCATAGACATCAATGAACGAGAAATGCGTAAAGCTTGGACAATGGATAACTTACACGCGTGAGCGAGTAAGAGAGAGAGAGAGAGAGAGGGAGAGAGAGAGAGACAGCATGGGTACGATTTTTTTTTTAGACTTTCACCTTTCTGTAACAACACGAAACACATCATCTTAATGCTTCTGAGAAGCTTCAAAAGAGATACTTGCACAAGTTTTGGTCTCTCTGTGTCCGGCATTCCTGCGCGGCCTTGTGTGGCCGCGTGCGTGAGCGGAGTCCTTTAAGAAGCGTCACGTGGGGCTGCTTGGCGCGCGTGTTGAACGGAGGTTCAGAGTATTTGGGTAACATTACCAAAGGAAGTTAGTTCGGCTAAGTTCGTTTCACTTCGTGGAAGTGAACTGAGTCGACTACGGAAAACAAAACTTTGACTAACAAAGAAAAGAAATAAAGATCTCTACGGGGAAATCACGCGGAGTTAACGTTACATCTTTGCATGGTTGGTGAAGAAGCGCGTGCGTCGCTCGGTCCGGCGCGTCACGCGGTCACGTGCGCGTGTTTCTCCTTCAAAGCGAGCTCGTTTAAAGGTCCCTTGTAGATGGATTTGCTGAAGAGATATGTCACGGGGTTTTCTTTTCAATCGTCGATTGGAATTAAACACAGAGACTTATCTACAAATGAAAAACACAAACTAAACTAGAAACAAATAAAAGAAAGGCGAAGAGCTCGCCCGGAGGCGAGACGTTACATTATAACACGAGGACAAGGGAGGAAGAGGGCGAGCGGAGGGGGGAAGCGTCATTTATCACTTTTGGAGAAATCCAGCCTCTTCCTGTTGGCTTGGCCAATTAGAGGGTTGGAAGGTTACAGGCGGGACTTTGGGTTTTATTTCTCTTTGTCTTGTCAGACTGCTTGTCTAATTAAATTATGACCTGTGTTAGGAATGGTCATTTCTACTGCAGAGATGTGTTATGCACATAATCATACCTTTTACGGTGTGTTCATACATATATCTGGCTGAGTCAAGTCCAGGGCATTTTTACGATATCAAACACGACTGTTATAGGTAAACATTTACATTAAAATACATCTAGGGTATTTTATAGGGAAAAATTATAGTCATTACAATGTGACATGGGCAAATGGACACACATAAAAACACATCGAATATATCTGGTTAAATGTCTTTTGAAGAAAAGAAGTTTCTTTCTCTTTGGAATCACATTCAAGTCAGCCATAAAAATGTCTCGTAACTGGACACCACGCTCTGTCCTGAGCAGGCTTCACTTGTGGGGGATGCGTGGGTGTGTGTGGGTGTGTGTGTGTGTGTGTGTGTGTGTGTGTGTGTGTGTGTGTGTGTGTGTGTGTGTGTGTGTGTGTGTGTGTGTGTGTGTAAATTTACATTCCAGGCTTTTTGGGTCTTTAGCAGGATGTATTTAGTCCTTTCAGATTCACCCTTTTAGCCCAGTCCTTACAAGGGGTTGTAATTAAGGCTGTACGATTAATCGCACGATATTGTTATGCGCATCTCATCAGTAAAGCCGGTTCCTTGATTAGCAGTAAATCGCCTTCACCTGCTTTCAGATGGACGATATGATGCAGATATGAGTGTTAAATTAACACTCAAGAGTGTTAAAGTTAATGAGATGATTAAGTGATTAATTTAGTGATCATTGAGCATTATTGAAGACACCTGATGATAACAAGCAGAATCACTGAAGGAGAAAATCTAAAATTGTTAGCCACCGTTATGGCGATCAGTGTTTGCTTTAGTTGGGCTCTTGATCCTTAAACTGTAAGTTTAAACTTTGTTTGTCTGTTATTATTGATTTATTGCAGTCAAATGAACAAAGACAAGTGTGATCTGATAGTGTTGGTTATGTTTAGACATAATCATGCTGTGATCTGAAAAATGAAACTCATTCAGATGATCTGGTTTAACTTGATAGCAACAGTTTAGTGGTTCTACAGCATATGATATTTGTATTTTTCTTATAATCCAAAACATTTAATAAAAATTGTTCTGATCAAATCACTTTCTAATGCATGTATTTAGAAACACAGACATCAATAATCAGCCTGTGAATCTCAACCGTGGTGACAATAATAATCCTTGTTACCACAATCACAACTCATTAATGGCTCCCATCATGCATTGCGGTATGAATAAATTATGATCTGAATTGTCTATGTAATTTACTTTTCCTGATTGAATATTCTGCTCGTCATCATTGTTGAGATGCATTGACTGAATCTTGATATCTGTGTGTGCCTAAAAAAAGTTTTTTTTTTTTTACAACTTTTAATAAATCCTTTATATTATATATCAAATTCTGGATATTTATGCAGAATTTCAGTTATGCTGTAACCAACAGCATTAATCACAAACAATTAGTCCAAATGATGAATATCATATTATAACCAACACAATTGGATCATTTTTTTCTTTGTTCATCTGGCAGGTATAACTCGAATTCAACAGCTGAACCAAATCTAAATTAATATTATAAGGGTCAAGAGCCCAACTAAAGCAAACACTCATCTCCATGATGGTGACCTGAAATTCCGTTTTTCTCCTTCAGTGATTCTGCTTTAGATGTCTTCAATAATGCTCAATCATCACTCAATTAATCACTTAAATATCTCATTAACTTTAACACTCTTGAGTGTGGACTCATATACACTTCCCAGGTGTGTTCATTTAACACTGAGTTTTTGCTGTGTACAAAGAGCCGTAGTTAAGTGACAAGCTGAGCCATATCGCATTAAATATCATTGGCGATATGTCCTCGATTTTAACGCGATTTGGCTCAGCTTGTCAGTGAACTACGGCTCTTTGTAGTAAATGCCGCTCCATCTGAAAGCAGGTGAAGGTGATTTACTACTAATCAAGGAACCGGCTTTACTGATTAGATGCGCATAACAATGTCATGCAATATATCGCCCAGCCCTACCTCGAAGGCCGCATTTGAAGGCCGATTGCGTCACCGCGGCGCGATGAAGGCTGTCCCAATTCAAAGGCTGCATCCTCGAAGGCCGGTTGCAGCCGCGACGAAGGCTACCCTGATTCAAAAGCGACGCCAAATGCACCCTTCGTTTCCCCGTGAAAGGAAGGATACATAAATGGACACTCAGCGGCCTATCCTACCCCATAAGTCATTGCGCGCCGGCGACGAAAGCATTTTTAGTGCAACATTTGCTGTGTAGCCTAGCCTACAGTTCAAATTCAAATGTTGGTGTTCAACTTAGCGTTTTAAAAATACAACAACCGTTCATTTTTTCGTTTTTAAATTATGGCTTATAAAAAGAAAAAACGAATGGACGCAAATTTACACAGACCGAAGACTATCAAACTTTTCTACAAAATCATTTGAAATATTTAATAATATAAGGTCGCTAGCCTACTTGAGAAACGAAAAATGAACGGTTGTTGTATTTTTAAAAGGTGAAGTTGAACACCAAAATTTGAATTTGAACTGCTACACAAATAGGCTACTGCGCAAAAATTTTTTTATGACTTTTTGCCCCTTTATTACACATTTAAAATATTCACAAATTAATATGGAAAAAAATGTCGATTTTACTGGTTTTCTAAGGCCAAATTAGAACCTGGAAATTACATTTCCCCCGCAGTGCTGAATGAGAAGAGTCTCAGGAACCATACAGAGAGATGATTTATAGGCTAATGATAATAAATGTGTCTGAAAAAATAACGAGCCATTTTAATTGTTCGTTTAAAAGTGAACATTTCAAGCTTTATAGGCTATATTTTGTTTCAGTTCATTTATGAGACGCGCTCCAGTTCACGGAGATGATGAAAGCGCGCCTGATTATTTTATTTTACAAAAGCACAACGTTTTCTTGTTATGTGAGTTTGGACAAATAAAAGTAGTTGCGAATGATTTATTATTCTTTTCTGTATGAGCAGAAATGATTTTAGGTTAGAGTATTTTAAGTTGTTTCCACTAGTAAAATGCATGTGTTCGCGCTGGCGCCTCCGTGCCATGCAGTGCGCGCTCCACACTCCCACACACACACACTTGGATATGCGTCAAAATCTTGTGTTTATTTGGGATAATCTTAGCCGTGTATTATTATTGTCTAACCTGTATTATGACTGACATTTCACGAATTGCTTTGTTCCTTTTTTGGATAAAAGCACCTTCTAAATATGTAGCCTATGTAATAATAATAATACTTATTTGCATTTATAACTATAAAAGAGTTCACTGGACACAATAATATGTTAATCATAAAATAATTTATGGACGTTTTATTTTGTTTGTGTTATAATTCTTTTCTTATATGTA